GAGGCTCGACGACATGTCGCGCGCTAGCAAGGCGCCTCAGCGCCGCGGAGTCCGACCGGGGGGCTGGCGGCCGCGGCCCGCACCATGAGGCAACCGGCGGGCGCGGGAAGGCCCGCAGCCCCACACTCAGCTCCACGCACAGGCCGCCTCCGAAGCCATCCGGGACTGACTTCCGGCTCCCGACGGAAATGGCTTTGGACAGGGCCGGAAACCCGCCTCCTTACCCGTCGTCTTCCGCCGCACGCACGTACGTGTCCGGCGCGGACGCAAGGCGCTCGCTAGTGACGCCCTCCTGAGGCCGGAAGTGCCTGTGGAAGAGAGGTGGCCGCTGGGAGGCGTGCGGGCCACGCCGGAGGCTCAGCCCTGCGAGCGGGGTGGGAAACAGTAAAAGGGCAGTTTCTGCCCACTTGTTTCCTTCTCGTGCTTTCTCCCGTTTTATATTTTCTTTCTTGGCCTGCCTTCCCTTTCTTCATCTCTGTTACAAACAGAAGTAAACTCCCCATGTAGTAGCTTTGTGACCGGAGATGAGTGACAGCCTCCCAAAGCCTCAGTTACCTAATCTGTAAAATGGGGAAATTTTCCGGAAACCGGGAAGACATGATACCTACCTCACAGGGTTGTTGTGAGGATCAAAAATAATAACCTGTGTAACTCAGTTCACACTGTGCCCGGAGCATGAACTCCTAACTTTACCAAGACACTCGGTATTCTTCAAGGTTCTACCCAAAATCTGGTTCTTTAGCAAGAGTGTCCCACTGACCTTGGGACACACTTCTTTTGCTATGAAGACATAGAATGCAAAGAACAGCTAAAGAAAGATGTGAATAGATTGGCTATGTTAATCCTTAGAAGCCTAGAAATTATTCATGACCTGATAGTAAATGGGTCCTTAGAAGGTAATTTAAGGGTTGGGCTACAAACAGGAGTTTAAATGAGGAAAAGGACAGCTTACCAGTAGATATTGAAAGGTAGAATTGGAATACACAGACTCAGGAGAAGATGGCATCTGTCAACTCAGTAGAAAGGAAAACCTTGGTCTGAAGCAGACTCATCTGAACTCCATCTGCCTTTAACAAGTTAGTGAATTTACTGCAGGAAAATGGAACTGGACAAAGTAGAAGGCAGAGGAGAGGAAAGAAATGCCAGAAACTGCCTTATCTTTCAATGTGTCTCAAGTCCAGAGGAAGATCCTTCACACACAGATCGAAAGCCTTTCCTCTTCTGTGGAGCCCAGGAGTAGGACAGTCAGGCTTTTAGAGCTGTAGTTAATTATTGAGTTAAGATACCTTGTTGGCAGCCAGTTCTGAGTGATCTGAATTTGTGGGAAGGGCCCACGGGGATCAGAAATAGAGAGGACTTCCTCACACCCTGAAGAAAATGAAGACGCAGCTTCTGAAAATCATCAAGAATGTAACAGTGGTACCAACCTCAAAAGAGCCTAGCATCAAATCTTGACAGTTAAATATGCTAATTTCCCAGACAAGGTTATTATTAAAATGTGTTAACAAATTGGCAGAACCAGCAATTCCTCTTAAGAGATTCATGCCAACAAATATTTGTTCAAATGTCCACATGGAGAAAACTTTGTCACAACATTGTTAATAATAATGGAGAGTTTGGAACAATCTATATTTCCACTAATAAGAGTTAAATTACTGTATATTATTCAAAAAGTGTTAATAATAAAAGGAGTATATGCTGTAAATCTAATTTATGTAAAATTAGTGTGTTCCTGGCTCCTCATAGGCAAAATTTGTTGAATGAATAGAGAATATAATTTCTAAACTGAGGATACTAAACTCTGTAGGTCTGCCATCTCCCTAATCTGCCAGCCTTATCTAATGCACACAGCAGCCTCAGTGGGCCCTCCCTCTTCCTCTCCTGCTCAGTACGCTCCCTCCCACTTGGATTTACTGTGCTTCTGTTGGGCAAACCCTTCCCTTCTGGCTTCTCCGAGTTAATTTCTATGCACTAATTCTTAGTGCAGTAGTCACTTCCTCCCAACCTCTGAATAACAGACCTTCACAACTAGATCCGATCATGTGTATCCCTCTGTTACAGCATTTATCATAGATTCAGCTTTGCATGTATTTTATGATTTCTTGCTTAAGGTGTGTCTCCCTCCCATTAGACTGCAAACGCCATGGCAAGAGTCGTGTCTGTCTTTGATCATCATTTTATTTCCAGCAAGAGCATGAAGCCTTTCACAGACTAGGTGCTCAGTAAATGTTGTTTCATTGATGAATGGAATATATGAAAACAGTAATACTGTTATCTCTAGGCACTAGCATTGCTGGAGTTTTTCCTGTGTCTTTCTTAAAATTCATTTTTTAGTAACATAAGTATAGTTTATGTACAATATTATATAAGTTATAAGTGTACAATATAGTGATTCACAATTTTTAAAGGTTATACTCTATTTATAGTTATTATAGAATGTTGGCTATCTTCCCTGTGTTGTGCAATATAGCCATGTAGTTTATTTTATACATAATAGTTTGCACCTCTTAGTCCCCTACCCCTAGATTGCCTCTCCCCTCTTTCCACTGGTAACCACTAATTTGTTCTCTGTGTCTGTGAGTCCATTTCTTTTTTTGTTATAGTCACTGGTTTGTTGTATTTTTAATTTTTATTTAAAAAGATTCTTTTGGACTGTGGGAGGTAGTTAGGTGTACTTATTTATTTTTAGAGGAAGTACTGGGGGTTGAATCCAGGACTTTGTGTATGCTAAGCATACACTCTACCACTTAAGCTATACCCTCTCTGCTGTTGTATTTTTTAGAGTCCACATATAAGTGATATCGTACAGTACTTGTCTTTCTCTGTCTTTAGCATAATATCCAAGTCCATCCATATTGTTGCATTTCCTTCTTTGTGGCTGAGTAGTATTCTGTGGTGTTTGTGTATGTGTGTGTGTGTGTGTGTGTGTACCACATCGTTTATCCACTTATCTGTTGATGGACACTTAGGTTCCTTCCATATCTTGGCTGATGTGTGTGTTTTTATTTTAGCATAGGTATTTTCTATATCTTACATGCATCTTCTAATTTTTATACATTATGCATGTGCTACAGATGCAAGGAAAGGTTATAGAAACGAACATATATTTATTGCAAAAACCATTTCTTCAGCTGCCAGGCTCTGTGGGAGATTAACAAGCAGGAACACTTCTGCAGCACTATGGGCCGTGCACTGTTCTGAATATTTCATGTATTGTAACTCTTTTTAACCTCCCAAGAACCCTACTCAGTAAGGTTGTTAGTAGCTACTGTTAGCATCTTTATCCTTATTTACACATGGGGAATCTGAGTCACAAAAAGGTTTAGTAACTTGAGCACACCTGGCTAGTTAGTAGCGCTACCTGGGTTCAAACACCAGCAGTTTGACTGTAGCATCTGTGCCTTAACTGCGCTCCATTGTCCAGGCTCTGTTTCAGCTGACTTTGCAGTTTGGCTCGACTAGAATACGTAAAACGGAGAACCATTTGAAATGATTTGAAATCAGTTCCTAAATTAGCCAGTTGGGAAGGCATCCTGGTAAAGAGTGAAATCAGTGGTACGGAGGCCGCAGGTGTGTTCCCAGGACTCGGAGGGGAATGCTTGGATGGGGGACGAGTAACAGGAAGGAGGAGGAAATGAGGATGTCTGGATATTCTGGAGACAAATTATGGATCTTGAGAGAAGAGTTTTTATTTGTTCTGGTGAATAGTGAGTGTCTAAAGGGTTCAGCAGTCTTTGCTGGAAAGCAATGCCTGTGAAATGGAATCTGCCTGCCCATATTTGATGGAAGATAAGTGTGAAATGGTGCTGCACTTCTGAGGAATTCAAGTCCAACCTTCCGAGGGTTGTCCTATTTACTCTTGTCCTTTCCCTCCTGGTCCTCCTGCTTTCCTTTGTCTTTCAATCAGCAAGTGGTCAAACAGCTGGGTCGTAGTGCGAGTCAGGACCAAGGTGCGCACTGCCTGGGAGACAAAGAGGGCCCAGGCTTTGATCCTGGCTGCAAGGAGCTCATTCTTCAGGAGGGAAGATCTGAATGTGACTATTATGAATGTAAGGAGTATAAAGTAGAAAGGAGGCAGCCAGAAGGCAGTGCCCTCTTCTGCTCTTTTTTTTCTCTTGCTTTTATTCTTTTTTAAAAAATACAATTTCCTGTCTTTTAAAAAATGGTTCTTGATCTCTATTCTTTATTTCTGTTTCTCAGCTCTTCTCAAAATAATATTGCTAAAAGTGAAGGTAAACTCAGCCGTGTTCCTGTGTTAACTGTCTACTGTAACCTAGTAAACGTAGAGGCTGCTAGAGGAAACCAAAGGAAAGCCAAGAAACCAAGCAACATGCGTTTTCAGATACACTGATGATCTCTCCAAATGTCACTTTTTTGACAGTAATGATGCTCCCTTACAGGCATATGTTGCTCGACATTTTTACCCCTTGGCTTTTCTCTGTCCCTTTCATGTTACTGTGTTTTCATACATATGAATAAATACTACAGGAAATTTTCGTGATTTTAAAGACTCTCTGTGCACATGGACTGAACCCATGGAAGGTCTCATCATCTACCCCATATATATGTTGACACTCATTTCATATTTTAAAAATGACTGTCTGACATGGTTATCATCCCTATACCCCAATACAAACATTATAAAAGTCGAAATTTCTTAGAGAAAGTCCTTGTTCTTCCTTCTCTGTATGGACAGCCAAGTGTCTGGAACGGTGGCTGAAGGATTCAACATGGCACGTCTAACAAGCTGGGAAAATGACGCCTGGCTAGAGAGAGTGTGAGTGTCTGTGGAAAGTTATCCCCTTTGGCTTGCCTCTTTGATCTTTAAAGAGATGATAAAATTTCTCCCAGACACTGCTGCCTTCTTCTACCATGAAGAATACCTAATGTTAATTGAGGGATTTTTGCATGCCAGGTACTTTGCTCTATACAGATTAACTTATTTAATTCTCACAACACTGCAACGTAGGTGCTATTGGTATTTCCTTTTACAGATGAGGAAACTGACACGCAGAGGTCAAGCAGCTTGTGTGATGTCACAGAGTTAGTAAGAGGCAGAACTCAGATTCAATTGAGGAAGGCTGGCACCAGAACCCAGCCATTTAACTGAATGCCACTGTGCTGTATGTCAGAGTATCAAGTTTGTGGCTGTTTTTTTGCGGGGTGGGGGAGAGATAAAGTATCAGTTAGAATGCTTTTGATTGAAAGCATTAGAAACGCAATTTGAGCTTCCTTAAGGGAAGGGGAGATTATGTGGATGCGGGGTGTTGCATAGAGCTGGCAGCATGGATGTGGCTGGATTGGAGCCAGGATGCAGATCCTATCAGAATGCTCTTCGCCTCTGTTTCCCTCTGTACGCTGCT